GCCTCACAGAGTCAGATCCTTTAAATTCTGACCTGCCAGTTCCGCAAGTTACGGCTCGACCGCTCTTCCTCAGGTAAGGACGTAATATTATAATCTCTTCTGTATATCAGCAGTGTTAGCATTAATTGAAAAACTTTCAATTCTGCGTTGTTGACAAATACATTGTTTTGCTCAAAGTACAATTGGACGTAAATTTGCAACCTGTAACAAAATACAATGTATTATCAAATTCACAAAAAATTGATTTATTTTTTATTTTATTTATTTAATTATAAAAGTTAGATAACAAAGAAAGTAAAAGAATTTTTGATAGATATAATATAAGTATGCACAAAAAATTCGGTAAATTTAAACAACGAAGGTGTAAAAATTACATGACAAACAATGGAAATATACTAAGTAAATAGTATAAAATTTATGAAATTATTCAAATTTGCAATATATATTTAGTAAATTTTTGTTGTTTTTCACGTAATTCTCACATTTAATTTTGTAAATTTATCGATTTTTTACAAAATAGAGCACCGAGGCTATATTGAATTATAGTATTATCTTATTATGATTACATAATTGGACATCAATCATACTATTACTTATAATTGTACATCCCCATGACATTTCTGTTTTTTCTCATATTTGTACGTTTCGTAAACATGCGGATTAGTTCTTTGCGAAAAGTTTGTCCCGTTGCGCAGTATAGAACAAAATTTATACTGTAATGTGCATTGTTCATTAAGTCGAATATTGTAACCATAACAAACACATTGACATATTCAGGTATCTGGAAAAATTAGTATTGTCATTATTGTTGTATATAATTATTAATAATGTAATAACATGTCGTATTTAAACGCATCTATTTTTTTACGCGGATAATATAAAGAAGTTATTATATAATGTCATTTATAATGCAAAAATTGCACATTACAAATTAATAAAAAAATCAAATTTTGAGAGAAAAATTAATTAATATTATTTTGTTATATACAGAATTCATTTTTCGAGTAAGTAATCTACATATTATATGGTCAATATTAATTTAAATTGAATTATTTTTACTTACGTAATACGCAATGAAAAAAAAGTAATGTCCAGGTAATTTTAAGATTAGAAATATGCTCGAAACGAGAATAAGCATTTTTGTGATTTTATGCTGAAGCATTTTATTCCTAGAAATCTGAATTCTTTCATTAGAAGAATCGGACGCTGTAATCAAGGTTTTGCGAACACGATTTTGCTTGTAAAAGTGGTATCCTATTAGAGTATTGCAGATTACTATCACGAGAGCAGGTAGAGTAAATATTATAATAGAATCTATAATCCTCCTTGTCAGGCTGTCGTTTTTCTGTTTATCAAGTAGTAAATATTTGTACACATCATAGATATTCATTTTTCTTTTAAATATTTCCTGCAGCAAATCCTCAGAAATAACAAAAGTATATAGAATGCAACGTAAAATTGCTAGTCCCATCAACATGAGTACTACGATTTTTGCTCGTTTGACAGTGCACCAAGCTCGACGCAGAAGCGGATATTTCGTCACTATATATCGCTCGATGGTAAAAGCTACTATAAGCCACACACTCAAGAACTCGAAAATGAAACTCGAAAAGTATAGGAAGGATCTAAACCAAATCCAATAATTTATATTTCGATGTATATTATAAAATATGAGGATCCAGTCAATAAGTAATAACATCAAATAGACATTGTCACTTATTGCTAGTGCGCCCAAGTAAATGTTGAAGGAGAAAGAACGCATGTTTTTACGGAAGTGCACAATGGCGGACAAACTGTTTCCTAAAAGACCGAGAATAATAAAAATCGGCAGACTGTACTTTCTCAAATTTGAAAAGGTCTCCGTTGCATTTGCAATTCTATCGATTAGCTCAGAAAAAGTATGAAATTCATTTATGATGAAATAAGTGATGGGAAAATGTTTGCCTACAATGTCTTCGTTACATAAATCTTTAAATTTTTTAATTCTACTTATATTCACAACTGAATGATTCATCATGATACGTCTTCTGTTATTATAAGATATTATATGGATAAAATATTCAGCCATGCTACGTAAACTTTCGTCAAGATCTCTTTCGTTGTTACAAACACGCAATCGTAGTTCATGTTTAGATATTCTGGAATAATCTTTGCCGAGATTATTTTCACAAAACATTCTTGCGTATGATTATGGATTGTTTGCAACAGTTGCCAATGAGATGAAAAGCAAAAAACGGTATAATCAAGTTGTGTAAGGCGTCTGAAAAAAAGGCGTTACAACATTATTATATATATTATTCATTGAAATCAATGAATCTTGCATATAAATTTTACTGAATCAATATATTTATTAAAATAAATTTATCTTAATTAAAAAAAATAAAAATAACAAAATGTGCAAAATATATACAACATTGTAAACATTTAAAGTAAAATGTCTCACACACTATCTCACTTACCTGAGAGTCGTTTAAAATTCTAAAGCTTACAAATACAAGGATATAAATTCTCAGCAATTCCCCGAATTCAATCGCTCAACTGCTAAACACTAACGATTGCAAAAGACTAAATGTCGAGACGACTGACTTAAATATTATTTCTTCCTGGAAGTTTGTGGCTTACCGAATTGATTAACATTTTGATCATTTGATTAACTGTAACAATTTTCATATCCGCTGATATGTGAGTTTGTACAGTCGCTCTACTAAAGTATTTATGATGATAAAAAAAAGAAACATTTAATATTACCAAAATAATACATAAAATTTATTAAAAACATAATTTCTTATTTTTCTCATGAAAGATATTACAGTGAACATAGTTTCTTATTAGCATAATATTTATGATTTTATGGCAACTGTAGTTATTATATATTATAAGTATATTGAATAACTAGAACATTAAAATATTTATTTTGTACAGTTTAATTAATATTATATAATTAGATTTATTGAGATTTATACATTTGTATGCAATATCGTACTACTATTTTAGGAAAATTTCAGTACTAATATTTGTTTGAATAATGGAACAATATTATTAGCGCATTCTAAACGAGTGGATAAAATTGTTTTCTTTTTTTGACTATTTGCAACGCTAAATACAAATTTAATTTATATTATTAATTGTAAATATATCGATCCAAAGTTCTTAAAATATAAAGGAAAACAATATGTATACGCAGTAAGTAAAAATTATAAAACACATTCACAAGCGTTTATTATATTCACAAATAGAAACAAAATACACATGTGTGGTAAGTAAAATTATTAGACTTGGAATAGATATTTGTGACACAATAACATGTAAATAGTACGCAATACGTTCTTTTCTTTCTTTAGAAAATATTTTTTTAATGAATAGACGAATTATTTGCGCAAGTTTGATGACAACAAATTGTCTTTACATTTGTAATTGCAATCTACGATGTGACAATTTATCTATTTCAAATAATTAAATCAACACTTTTATAGATTATAGGCCCATATTCATTAACAGAGTTGATAAAACTGTCGTTTTACTTACGGTGCTAAATTAATTGTACATACTGTCTATATATATATATATATATATATATATATATATATATATATATATGTGTGTATTATAG